CTCTTTTGATTCAAATCAACAATTAGCAATAGAGCACATGTTGTTAGCCGACATGTCGAATCTGCCATAATTTCTGCTTTCAACATGATTTCCAAGTGAATTTTAGCGTTTTTCATGGAATTTTTTCTCAAAAACAATCAATGAACATGATATTCGAGTTTAAAATGAAATTTCGATCTGAAATAACCAAAAAAACAACCGATTTCATCAACTTTGAGCGAAGTTACAGCATATTCCCAAAAGAGAACGACCGGGTCATTTTTTTTTCACGCAAAAATTTTTTTTTACGTGACGCGTTCCGCGGGGGTATATAAGCCGTGGAGCAGCCGAATCACGTCAGTTGGCGGTGTGNGAATCACGTCAGTTGGCGGTGTGAGCCGGTGAGCTCCACTCCTCTCTCTCTGGAGGTCCTCCGGAGAGGGAGGAAAAGCTCACCGACTCGTAAGCCAGGGATGAGGTCTGGACTCGTCTCGGCTTCATCGAAACCGTTCAGAACGATTGCATTCCACCCAAACCGCTCAAAACGGTTGCATTCTACCCCTAATCGTCCAGAACGGTTGCATTCTACCCCAATCGTCCAGAACGGTTGCATTCTACGAATGGATAGAAAATCGCAGAATAGAAGAATTTAATGACTTTTGACCAAATTCAAAGCAGACCAAACATTCGGTGAAAGGAAATTGAACCAGAAGGAGCATCGAAAAGTATTTTTGAATCTTCAAGGAAAATACAGTTCATGGCATANCAGAAGGAGCATCGAAAAGTATTTTTGAATCTTCAAGGAAAATACAGTTCATGGCATAGAAATCTATGAAATTTTTTTAAACAAAACCATAACTTTGATTTATTTAGTTATTTTCGATTTGTTCGAGAGGAGAACCTCTCAGGTGTTGCCACCCATCCAAAATTAGTGAACCTCAGGACTAGGCCTTTCAACAGTTCGAGTTGAGTAATCGTTGATCTCCCATCAACCAAATACCACTCTGGAGGTTAAGCCAACCCCCGAAGACATCACTCACACTCACCCAAGACAATACCCTGGACTGCAAAACATAACTAATTTCCAGAAACCTGACTAATACGTGCACCGTACATAATTTAAGTCCCGTGCACTTTTCGTGCAAAAAAACACTGCCGAGCTCCAATGCGCACCGTACATNCACTGCCGAGCTCCAATGCGCACCGTACATAGTACGAGTCCGAACGTGAAACGCATCACTGACAAATGACTCAAAAAAACAGAAATTTTACTTAATTTCTCAACGAACAAACTATTTTTAATATTCTGGTTTCAACGTAGCTTAACCTGAAAACTTCAATATGTACAACCATGTGAATATCTGTCACCCAGGAACAGAAGAAACGAGAAGATGCTCGGAGTTCCAGTATAAGTTGAAGTATTTCTCAAACTTCCTTATCTTCTTACATCCAATATAAACTGTTTTCATTAATTTCTGAGTATAAAGAGACATGCTTAACTGACCATCACAAAAAATCAAGGTTATTATGAAAATCAGAGAACCAGAAGACGTTTGGAAAACAAAAAGCTGGAGAACGAACATCATATTAGCTTGGGAATTTCCATGGATATCGCCCTATGCTGTTGACTACTCAC